TCTTATAAGATGTGTCAAAATATTATGTAGGTTGTAAAGTACCTACGTATATTATACAATATAATATGTATAAAATGTCGATTTTCATTTAGTATATTTTTTAATAAAAAAATAATCGTATTTTAATGAATACTAACCGTTGGATCGTCGTCGATGTTTACCAAAATCCCATGTGCTCGTAATTCTTGATAAAACTTTTGTCTTTCCGATTCGTCGTCCTGTTTACTGTCGTCCTCCTTAACTATTCGTTGCCTTTTATAGGCTAACACAAAGTCAACAGTGTTAAGTTTCCTATGTTCAACGTGCATTTTGGTTGATGAATCCCGATGCTTTATGTATAAAACATTCATAACCGCATATATTATTAACCAATAGTTGAATAGTATCCACTAAATTATAATATTATTAATGGTATTTAATTGGGATATTATTGTTATGTTATTGGTATGTATATCGGCTGGGAGAACTTTTTGCGTAGGTGAAAAATAATTATATAGCATCAATCACGTGAGAGAGTGAATATTATATCCACCCTCACAATATTTATTGACACGGATAGGTAATTTGTGAACTATCCTATACACCCCTTATAATATAATATCACTTGTTTAACTAAAGTTTGCAGAAAAAAACAAAAACAAAACACTGTATTAGAAAGTTTAGATAGTTGTCCAAATGTTTTGAAATAATAGGTATACCTTCCGCTAGTATAATATTATATGATACACAAGCTGAATATTGCACGGCGTTGTCCGGAAAAAAAATTGTTATTCATCAACTCCTTTTGAGTGTACACTGTAATCTGTACACGCTGAGGAAGCAATATTTTTAAGTGTAAATTATATTATATTTTTATGTGCAGCCATCCCGACCGCGTAGTCTGTGAGATTCGATTGTGATTATGCGAGCCTGGTTTAATTATTTTAATGCAATATTCCTTATAAGCTTATATTTTAATAGAATTTCAAAAATATTAAAGAAACATAGGGACTTATATGTATTTAAAGTTCAAATTTTGACAAAATTCATCAAAATCCACAAAATTTGAAAAATTATTTTTTTGTTAGAAATTCTTTTAGATAATTTTAATAGAAATTTTAATAGAAGATTCCCCACAGATTTTTCTACCTTAAACAAAACAAAAAAGTTTACCGGAAAGTCATATCACATTTTTATGAGCTTTTGAATTTAACATTTTACCATAATATTGGATTTTTACCGATAAATTAACGAATAAAATTGGCATAAATCGATTTTTGATATTTTGTTGTATTTTTAAAACGAATAACCGGAGACTCGTGAAATATTCACTAAATTAAATTAGCATGGATGGTAAAAGTTTCAAACTATTTTGACTCTTATTGAGCTGTTTATAGATATGATAATTTTTTTAATTTATTTAAAATATTTTTTAGTGAGAAATTCATAAAAGTTTTTTTTTAGAGCTAAAAGATTAAAAATTTTAATAGAAGATTCCACACAATAGTTTTTCTACCCATAATAAACAAAAAAAGTTTACTGAAACAGAACATACATTTTTTATGAGCGTTTGAACTAATAATTTTTACGATATTTAATATTCAGCAGTAAATTAAAGAATTCCCATTATAATCGATTTTTGATATTTTGTTGTATTTCCAAACGAATAACCGTAGACTCGTAAAATACTCACTTTATATTTATATATATTTATATAGCATTGTCCATAGATGGTAAAACTTTCAAACTAGTATGACTCTTTTTGAGCTTTTTATAGCTATGAGAAATTTTTAAAATGTTGTAAATTATTTTTCAGTTAAAAAGTCATAAAAGTTTTTATTTTCAAAGCTAATATTTGACATTTTAATAGAAGATTCCCAACAAGTTTTTCTACCTCTGTCAAAAAAAAGAAAGTTCACCGGAAAGTTACGCTATTTATAACCATGAGATATTTTTGATTTTTATTAATTTTATTTTTAACTAAATTTGATTATTCATACAAGTATGCTAGGCTGACGCACCATTTCCGCACACAGTCGTTTTTTGTATGCAATGGATTATAATTTAATTAAAATATAACACATCCATTACAATGACCTGCTCGATGAATACTGTACAGCAGAGTAGTACCCACTTGTCCACCTTTTTTTTATTTTATTTTTTTATTTGGATCTGAAAGACTTTTTTTAGTAGGTACCTACTAGGTAATAGCGCCCTGCATGGTTCCTATTATATCCATTTTCAATGGAACTTGTTCACCGAAGGTGACAGTAGTGTACTTGTGTACCTGCAATAAACGGTAATTATTACCTCGATTCGTTTAGAAAGATTTGGTGACCGCGGTAGTGGTGGTGGTGATGGTGGTGATGGGGGTGGTGGTGATAGTGGTGACGATGGCGATATTGGCAAATCGACTGCAGCAGTGGTGTGGTTTTCTTTTACGGTTGCTGTACCGATTTCGGCCTTCGTCGGAGATGAATCCCTTTCCCCGTCGCTCATTCGCAGTCGTCCGATGACACGTGCGCCGAGTCTTAACGCCGAGGGTCTCAACTGTAGCTCAAATGAAACAGCAGCCGCCTCCCGAGTCGTTTGGGACGGAGGAGACGGCGGCGACCGGTGTTGATGATTCTGTGCGGCCCGAGAGCTGCTGTCTTCGTCATCCGGTGGCATTTTTCACTCGTCGTAGAAATCGGAAGATATTACAATAACTATGGTAATATATTTATATGGCTCATACACGAAACACGCATCTGAGGGTAGTCACTGCTACTATTGGAGTAACTGCGGCGCGACCGACGGCGAAAATCGTGTTTGAAAAAACGACCACGACATGGTTGCATCGTTTTCATTTATTATATAGGTAGCACGACCACGGGGTATTATATACCTCGATCACCACCCACCACAACCCTTTTATCAACCCCCTACCCCACCCACTGTGCAACACACACGCGCATACCCATCATTATATTTATACTACCACGCCACCACCTATAGCCTCGTGCGTAATCATAATATATAGATCGCCGATAAATAATTCAATATATCACTATATGCAGGTATACAGTATGATGGGTGCCACACATCACCTAAATTATATATTATACGTATAGATATAGTCGATTGCTGGGAGTCGGTGATTAATTCATTAATTCATAAAATAGGTTTAGGTATAGGAGGTATAGGTCGTACGTATAATATATAAACTATAGGTATGCTTGGGAACGTGCTATGTAATCCATATACACATATAGACCACATAATATGTAGGTACCTATATCATCATACGGTATAAGTGAACCTGAATAAGTGAACGCGAGGAGTATATGTTACGCGCATAGGACATTGGTATGTCACGCAATAGGTATATAAGTAACAACTAATAAATAATATAAATGAAAAGAAAAAAACCCTATTAAAATGTCAAAGATAGGGAAAAAATAACCCTTTTAAATTGGCATAACAAAAAGATAGAACAGTAGGCATGACTTTCCTGTGACCTTTAGCCTTTAGGTACAATATAATATGTAAATTGCAGGTGGCTATAGGCGAGGATTTCACAGGTCTAGCCAATATAGTGATTTTTTGTTTTTAAATTTCCTTTTATGAAAATTTGAAATCAGTTTCAAAATTAGAATTAAATAAATTTAAGTTTACAAATCAGTTAAAGTGATCAGATACGTAAACACGCCTATGAATGTAACTGTATCCACCTACCAATTTATTATTCCACCCCATAATGTTGCACCCACGGCATATTACATACCTACTAAACGATTTGTCGTATGAGTAGATTTCTCAGGTAAATATGTGAAATTATAGGTGTAGCCGTATAGGTGTGTAAAACGGTACGGTATTAGAATTTTTATAATCCCAGTATCCCACTGTGCATAGGTGGAGATCATGTAAAATATTGAGAGGAGCTCAAATATTTTTTAACAAACATTAATAACAGATCAATAATCAAACTATAACTGTTACATGAATGTAACACATACATATTTTATTGTCTATTGTTACGTACCAATCCTTCGTATATTTACGTTGGATATTGGTTACGTGATTTTATCCGGTATGAGGTAACCATTAATACAATTGTAGTTTGTAAGAACGCAAATGAAAATATATCGTATCTAGTAAATAATGAATAACGTATAATAATTATAATAATACGAATTCGCGTACAATGACTGCGATACAAAATATAATATACTTAAATGTATGTTAGTGACGTAATAATAATAACGACAAGTATAATAGTGTAACATAAATAACATAAAACAGTGTATGGCATATAGCCAACTCACGATACCACCGATGGACGGATCCTGGAGTGATGATGATGGAGTGAAGATGATGTGGTGGATGAAGATGACGTCTTGGATGAAGACGACGATGAGGGTATGCGTACGGGAGCGCGTATATAATAAGGTAATATACCTATAGACGGATAGTGCATATAGGTACGTACATTGTATGCGTGTAATTATGCCCCACGGACACAAAGTATTATAATTATGTGTAAAATAATATAATATGTGACCTATGCAGCACGGACACAGAACAGTATAATTTATTATAGTATTATAATAATACTGACATATCGTTCCCAATTTTGCGTATAACGGCGCGAACAGAGATAGTCATTCTATACTGTGTGAATCACCACTAACTTGTCTCCCGGTGGCCTTTTACGCGAGTAGGTACACACGCCTTCTTTCGGCGGACTGGTCTCTGTTATCATAATATTATTTTTAACTGTAATACTATGACCGTCGATAATACTATTACGTTAAGCAAAACTATACGGAACATCACTCCCCCCATTGAAAGGGTACTCTGGCTTTCAATAATACTGCAGTTTAGACTGGTCCTCTTCACGGGTCCGCATCGTGTGGTAATAAGTTACATAATACAAATCGATACATATTAAAAATCACAATTTTACATATTAATTAATTTTTTTTGGATATCACTCTTCACAACATGTCTGCAGGAAAAGGATAGGATATGACAATAATTTATGGAGATTTATCAATAGGTAAGAGTACTAGTTTGACAATAGGTCGTACGAAAGTCCCCTTGGCGGTTCGCACGGTAACTACCCTCACTACACCATCGGTTCCCGGATGTGTGCGGTCGATCCTACCAAGACTCCATTGCGTAGGAGGTTGGTTGGGCGTTATGAGGAGTACCAAGTCGTCTGGTTGCACGTTCGGTTGACGCTTTGTCCATTTCGTTCTGCCTTGTAATAGTGTCAGATATTCCACCGACCAGCGTTTCCAAAATGATTGATGTAGTTGTCGAAGTAACTCCCACCTATTAAGTCGATTTTTTTGCACAGAAAGTATGTTTGGTTCGGGTATAGCAACTAAAGGAGCTCCAATTAGAAAATCCCCAGGTGTTAGTGGACGATAATCGTGTGGATCACTCGAGAAAGGCGTTAACGGGCGAGAGTTAAGGATTGCTTCAATGCGGCTAGTTAATGTTGACATTTCCTCAAATGTTAGTATTTGCTCCCCAACGACACGTTTCAAATGATATTTTGCCGATTTTACGGCTGCTTCCCATAGGCCCCCAAAATGAGGGGCAGCCGGTGGATTAAAGTGCCATTTACAGGGTACAGCTTTACTAAACTGATCTTTTAGCGTGGGTGTATCAAATAGTCGGCGTAGTTGCTGGTCTGCGCCTTTAAAATTTGACCCACAGTCTGTGTATATATCAGATGGTATACCCCGTCGGGCGATAAAACGATGAAGCGATGCTATAAAGGCATCCGTGGACAAATCCGAAACTACTTCAAGATGAACTGATTTAATGACCATGCAAACAAACACAGCCAAATAAGATTTGGACGATCGGGCATTTCTACGACGACTTTCTTTTATCAACAACGGCCCAGCGAAATCAATTCCAACGTGTAAGAATGGTCGGGCAGGCGTGACGCGGCTGGATGGCAAATCGGCCATGAACGGCTGGGGTGTATTAGCTTTGTGCCGTGCGCATACTACGCACTTGTAGATCACGTTTCGTATCGATAGCCTACCAGATAATATCCAATATCGTCGAGCTATTAATGTGGATACCAATTGTGTTCCCGCATGAAAATGGTTAATATGAAAATGTCGTATTATTAGTATAGTTAACTCACTGGTTTTTGGTAACAAAATTGGATGCCTGCTTTCTTCGGATAATTGTGAATTTCGCAATCGACCACCCACTCGGATAACCATTTTTTCGTCCAAAAACGGAGCAAGTTGTGCTAAGGATCGTGGTGAAATGTTGTTGTCAGGTTTCTGGAGTGTCTTAATAAGTTCACTAAAATATTGTTGTTGTGTGATTTTAATAATGGGTGTTAGCGCGTTTTGTAATTCAACGAGAGTTAACGGTCCGGTCATAATGCAAGATGTGCGCGTATGACGAATAAAACGATAAACATAGGCCATGACCCTTTGTAAGCGCGTCAATGATGAAAACCGAGTGACCCATTCCTTGTCGTTAACACTTGAATTAGTCGTTAGGGTGGTTAGACTTATCGGACACTTTGCCTTAACCTCCGGAAGTAGCGACGGTAATATTGGTTCGAAAAATGTAACCGGCCATTCACATTCAGGCAACGTCAAAAAAGGCGGTCCATTCCAATATAGTTTGTGGTCTATTGCTTCTGACGGGAACAAGCCACGTGAAACACAGTCTGCTGGATTCAGCTCGGACGAAATAAAATGCCAATTACACATAGGTATTAACTCCGCGATTTTAGCTAGCCGGTTAGTTACGAATATTTTGAACTCCGTTTGTTCTGAGGTGAGCCATGATAGAACGATACGTGAATCGGTCCATGCATGCACTGCAGAAATCGTAAAACTGTTGCTAAATGTCGTCTTGAGTCGATTGAGAGTTTGAGATAACAATAACGCACCACATAATTCCAAGCGTGGTATCGTAAATTCGTTTTTTTGATTGGTTATTTTTAAGGGGGCTACCTTTGATTTCGCCGTGATCAAATATACGGAGATCTGGTCATTGTCATGAATATGTCGAAGGTATACAGTAGCAGCATAACCTTTTTTTGATGCATCTGAAAACCCTAACAATTGTGTTGTACCGGTTTGTGAACAATCAATGTACCGTCTCAATTTAATTTGCGATACTAATGGTATTTCAACTGAAAATCGTTTCCACGTATCCGCGAGAACCTCAGGTATTTGCTCATCCCATTGAATGTTGGCCTGCCATATTGATTGCATAAAGCACTTAGCCCAAAATATAATTGGCCCAAGTAATCCCAATGGGTCATACAATTTCGCGATGGTAGATAATATTGATCGCTTTGTATATGGAGTAGTCAATGATAACGTACTAGTATGGTAACTAAATATGTCACTACTGGGGTCCCATTGAAGGCCTAATATTTTGGTTGAGTAGCTATCTTTCGGCTCAAATGTTATGTTCATAGCTCGGTCTTCGGGGGGTATGTTATGGAGCAACTCGTCGCAATTGGAAGACCACTTCTTCAATTCAAAACCAGCTCCCAATAATAATTGCGTCACCTCGTGTTGATGTTTTATCACTGACTCCACTGTATTAGCACCCGATATTATGTCATCAACATATGTTTGAGCTGACAATGTATTAGCTACAGACGGGTATTTACTGCCTTCCTCACGTTCTAACTGGTGCAGAACTCTAATAGCTTGAAATGGTGATGATGAGATACCGTAAGTGATAGTGTTTAACTCATATTCAAGTAGTGGCCGTTCAATATGAGGGCGCCATATAATGTGTTGATATTGACGATCTTCCGGAATTACAGTTATTTGCCGATACATTTTACAAATATCAGCCGTGAACATAAATTTGTGTAACCGGCACCGATGTAATAAATCAGATATATCCGTTTGTAATTTTGGACCTACGTGAAGTATGTCATTTAACGATACCCCCGATGACGACTTGGCCGACGCGTCAAATACTACGCGAAGTTTTATTTTGTTATTTTCCTGTTTAATGACCGCGTGATGTGGAATATGATATTTTCCGGGACAGGTAGCCTCTCTCATGTGACCCAAACTTTCATATTCTTGCATAAATTGTCGGTATTGTTCGTATACTACTGGGTCTTTTATCAGTTTTCGTTCAAGATTGAGAAATCGCGACACTGCCATGACTCGGGAATCACCTAAGGTGGATGCCTGCTCTTTAAACGGCAAGGCTATTGAATAACGGCCCTTTTCATCCCGAGACGTGGTACGCAAGAAATGGTCTTCACATTTTTTGTCACTGTTAAACGATTTATTCAATGGTGTAGGTTCTTCTACTTCCCAAAATTGACGTATTAGATCATTGATTGATGGTTGCGATGAAAGCACTAATGATAAGGGCGATGAGTCAAACTTTGTGTTCGATTGTCCCAGCACTATCCACCCTAATATTGTTTCGTAAATCGATGGCATACCCGGTGTATGTACAACTTGTGAACAATGTCCCAAAATGTATGGATAAATGTCCGCACCTAGTAAAAAATCGATTTGATGCGGAATGTCAAACTGCGGATCGGCAAGACCATAATTAACATACGTTGCACGAATCCTAGGTGGCAAGGCCGTATTGGGCATAAGCCCACTAATTCGAGACAAAATTACGGGCTGGCATGGTATCTGGGGGCCCATGGAGTTGTGAGGAATCAAGATACAATCAGTCGAACCTTTGGTAATAGGCCCCGGTGTCTGAGATAAACCGGTTACGATCGTATTACATTGTCGACGTTTTAATCCTAAACGCGATGCACAAGCATTTGTTATAACTGATACTTGTGACCCGGGGTCAAGCAACACTCTAGTATGTTTCCATTCACCGTGGTTATTTTGTATTCGAACAACAGCAGTGCCGAGTATGACATTAGTCAGTGTGTTTGTTGTGCCAACAAACGGCGAATCGTGCGGTGGATTATTAGTCGGCGGCGTGATTTCAGATGTAGACGGGGATGATGAAGTCGTAGATGATGAAGCATGCGATTTGATCGTGCCCAAGTGTAGCAATGAATGATGTTTAGACGCACAATGTTTACATTTGTGTATTGAGCTACACTCCGACGTTTTATGTGAGTTACTTAAACAATTCATACATAAATGTCTATCCCTTGCAAACTTAAAACGCTGTTTTACATTTTTTTGTACAAACTTGGGACATTGGTAAATCGGATGAGAGTCTTTACATAATACACATGCCGCCGTATAATTAGTGGAAACCGTGAATGATGATTTATGTTTAAATTGTTTTTTAGCCGTATCGTATGATTTACCAGGATGTATTGAACTTAAGGTGGAATTCTTTAACACTTGACACCGAATCTTTACAAACTCCGATAACATTTCAAATGTGGGTAATTCGGTATCGTGATGTTCGAACTCAAACAGTTGAATTGTCGTCGAGTCGAGCACTCGGGATGCAATATAAAATAACAAATATGCCGATACGTTATCTATATCAAGAGCATCTATGGCAGCAATATTCTCGGTAAATGTGCCTAGAAAACGTTGCAGCTCGGGGAGCGATTCTTTCGTTAATGGATTGAATTGAAAAATCGCATCCAAGTGCGCGTCGAGTAACTCCCTCTTGTTATTATAACGGTCGATTAACGCGTCCCATACGATTGGATAATTATTTTCGGTGAGTGGCAACGAGCGAACAATTGTTACTGCGGGACCTGACACCGTCGATACCAAATAATGAAATTTCTGAATTATCGATATTTGCCTATTGTTGTGTACTAATGACATGAAAGTGTCACGATACGTACACCACTGTCGAATTTCTCCGTTAAAAGTAGGTAACGAAATTTTGGGTAAATGTACACTAGGCATCGATATGGTGTTTGATGACTCTCGTTGGTTCAATCCCAATACCGATATCGCGGCCTTTATCGAATAATACGTATCTACCGCCTTTTTGCCTATAATCGCATGGACTGCATATTCAGAATCGCGACCTAGGTCAATCAGATTTTCAAGGATAGCATCCTGTTCAAGCCTTAAATCTGTTAAATATAACTCAAGGTCAGTTGCACGCGCTTGAACGTCAGGGATGACATCTTGATTATTTTTGGCTTCAGTAACTAACCCGCACAGGATGGACAATTGATCTAGGGCTACATCACGTTTAATGATGTTTCGTTTTAACGTCCGCTGTATACGTTCTTGATCACCGGTGCTTAATGCCATGACGAGAATGAGTATGCGATGACCGAATTGGAAATATAACTGATACACGCGTAGATATGATAAGATAATTTGTCAAACAAGTACCTGCGTAATCGCGGAAGTGAATACTGAATATGTTTTGATTAATTAACGTACAACACGCTAATGACCCGTTTTAACCGATGTATCGTAATTACTACAATTTCAACGATACTATCATGAGACCGGTTTATATCAACACTATGAAACTGATGTAATATTCAGCGATGGCATGTATGTGACGATATCAATAGGTAATCGTAATATGCATTGATGATTTTAATTTTATTAATGCTAAGTTTTGTCACATCAGGAATTATGACAAAACTGTACTTCGACCTCACGTTGTGGTAATCGGAAACTAGTTTGGATTCAAAGAGTTACAACAAATATAAATGGAATAAATATGAATAATATGCAGAGTGATTGGATCCAAATAATAAAAAAATATATTTTTTTTTTACATTACGACATTCACCGTTCTTACAATATCCTTAAGGGACCTATCCGGTTCGAAGGACCATATGTTACGTACCAATCCTTCGTATATTTACGTTGGATATTGGTTACGTGATTTTATCCGGTATGAGGTAACCATTAATACAATTGTAGTTTGTAAGAACGCAAATGAAAATATATCGTATCTAGTAAATAATGAATAACGTATAATAATTATAATAATACGAATTCGCGTACAATGACTGCGATACAAAATATAATATACTTAAATGTATGTTAGTGACGTAATAATAATAACGACAAGTATAATAGTGTAACATAAATAACATAAAACAGTGTATGGCATATAGCCAACTCACGATACCACCGATGGACGGATCCTGGAGTGATGATGATGGAGTGAAGATGATGTGGTGGATGAAGATGACGTCTTGGATGAAGACGACGATGAGGGTATGCGTACGGGAGCGCGTATATAATAAGGTAATATACCTATAGACGGATAGTGCATATAGGTACGTACATTGTATGCGTGTAATTATGCCCCACGGACACAAAGTATTATAATTATGTGTAAAATAATATAATATGTGACCTATGCAGCACGGACACAGAACAGTATAATTTATTATAGTATTATAATAATACTGACATATCGTTCCCAATTTTGCGTATAACGGCGCGAACGGAGATAGTCATTCTATACTGTGTGAATCACCACTAACTTGTCTCCCGGTGGCCTTTTACGCGAGTAGGTACACACGCCTTCTTTCGGCGGACTGGTCTCTGTTATCATAATATTATTTTTAACTGTAATACTATGACCGTCGATAATACTATTACGTTAAGCAAAACTATACGGAACATCTATATAGAATGTAGTAATAAGTGTACTTACGTTTCTCGTTATCATAATATTTATAATAGGTAGCTAATAAAAATAGAAATTATAATGAAATATAGTTACAATTGTATTAATCTATTACACTTATTGTTGAATGTGTTTAAAAAAGGGTGGAAGGAATATTTAACGGGGAAACCTTGAGATTAAAAACACCAGAAAAGTGGTTATATTACAAAATACAAGTGTGAAAAAAACGAGATTTTCCCATTTTACGTCTTACACAGGTGTCCTCTATAATATATTTGTATAAATTGATAGAATGATACAGTATAGGAACAATTGAACAAATCACAAATGTACAATAAGTTATTATATAAACACAATGAAAATATAATATAATTTTATATTGTATATACTATATTGTGTCATTGGGTCAATACTACCAATGTCGGTAATCGCGGTATGTTATCTTCTAAAAAAAGAATACCACATAGGTACAGTTTCCACCAGAGCTTGCAAACTTTATAATAACGTTAAAATCACAACGTTATATTTGGAAAAAAACGATTGAAATTTGTAAACGAAATTATAACGGAAAGCGAAAGTAAAAAATAATTAAATACCGCAAAAAACAACTTAACGATTAACAAAATATAATATTATACATAGGTATATAATTAAACAAAACATAACTCAAAACGTAATTTATAGAATTTCATTGAACAAAGAATAACACAAATAGAAATAATTTATTCTAAAATCCATTTATGAAAAGACAAAAGTTATATTGGTTTCGTAGAAATATTTATTTCATGCACTGATTAGAGTTAATTAGGTACCTATATTATATTCCGTGTCCGGCCCATTACCTGCCCTCATTAGTTATTTATTATTAATACATTTAATAGGTATTAACACAATTCTAAATAACGATGAACCCAAAACCTATAATATTACGTTTTAATTCTAAATAACGATAAACGCAAAACTTGTAAAACGTTTTAAATCTAAATAACAAAAAACGCAAAAATTGTGGGACTTTTTAATTGTAAATAACATAAAACTGAATTTTTTTCTAATGCAAGCCCCCTGTTTTTCACATAATATATTATATTATCACATTATATTATAATAAAAGAATATAGGTACTGAATAATAATAAAAAAATTATCCCTACCTACACAGTTATATAGATATAGATATGTAATCCATAATAAACTAAGATATTGTTTATTTTCTAATTTTTTGGGGGGCTTTAACTTCAAATATATTATTATTATTATTATTGGGGTGGGACTAAGCCCCCTCCGATCTCAGCCTATTCCACTGTGCATTAACATCAAAATCACATCGCTGAGATAATTATTATGATATTCGTCTCAAATAATCAAATGTGACTTCTCATTTTAAGTCTAGGTAATTTATTTCAACGAGATAGTGAACAATTACTGCTCAAAAACCACAAAAACTTACTCTTATCGAAGTTTTAAAAAATGGTTTACATTATAGAAGTGAGTACAGCGTGTTCCTATAGCAATTAGTATTTAATGATAAATAGAAGTTACGAACGTATAATATTTGTAGTGTCTTAATTGTACTTCACAGTACAAATAGGTAGATAGAGTAGTCACATCAATGTCACACGATAAATCAATAAAAAAAACTCGCCACTGTGATATAATATATCCAAATATTATGACATAAAAAATAATAATATAAAAATTCACTTATTACTTTTTATCTCGTAGGTAGATACTACCTATATTTTATTTTTCGGCCTTTTAATTTTTCGAGGTTAGTCGTAACGAGGTTGACGTCTATATTAATTAGTTATCAGAGTTTCACTAATTTTATATTTCCATATAATTTTACATTTTTACTGGATTAGTTTACTGGATATTTAAATATTTTAGAACACTTTATGATGGAAGACACAAGCAGTACCTACAACACATAAACTTCGAGTAACATAGGTGACATAAGTCAGTGACAATATATAGGTAAACATGTTTTACTAGACTTTCATCATATTAATTATTAATACTAACATAGTTCTATGTCAGTATAATATTACTAACAAACAATTTAAAATGGTAGGATAGAAAGAAAATATTACTATAATTATCATAAATATTTAATTTATTGAAATGGAAAAACAAGATATACCTACATTACAATTTTTATAAAAAAACATAATCTTAGTGAGAATTCCACGGCACACCGGTTGGGAAACCCTGATCTAGATACTTCTTATATTGAAATACATTTATATATTATATATTTATATCCTAGTGCTTTCAAATATTTTATTAAACTTATTTAATTGCTAAAGAAACGATCACATAAATTTAAAATAGCCTTTTTTTACCAATATATTATACTTTATTACTTTCCATATATGCCTAACATTCCATTTTCATATACCTATAGCCTATAGGTCGAATGCAGTACCCAGTATTTTAGAACTGTGGGTACTTACTTACGATAGGCCAATGTATAGTGTATAGAAACTTCAACCAACTAGGTAGTTACCTATATGGCTATATATTACTAAGTCGCCCAATGCGCTCACGATTAACCTTATTATTTATTTACATCACATTTTGATACCAGCATTCGATATAACTTTACTATATTACATGAGTCATAACAAATTTTTTTAGTAAAATGTATATATTACCAAAAAGCTTTAGCCTTTAAGTATTATTAATTAATTGTAGTTTTTATTTGTTGCATTAAAATGTATATTCAATTAACAAATTTACCGGAAATATTTAAATTATTTTAAGAAGGAGCTAAAAACGTTCACATGCACTTCAATTATAGTAAATTTTATGCCTCCCACCCTCACATTCACTAAATTATTCAAATACTATAAATGGAAATTCAAGTCAATACTGATTTCAAAATAAAAAAATAAAATACTCGCGCTTAGAATAGAAATATTAAAAAAACTAAATTATATGAAAAAAATATAATATTCTGCTTACAAATTCAAAAAAATTTATATTTTAACATTTTTAATGCAAATGCGTACCAATAAATATTAAACATGTATTAACAAATAAATAAATTAATGTTTTGACATGAAAAATGATTGTGATTGTAATTTGTGCAATTTGTAAATTTTAATGACTTTTTTGTAAAAATGATTGTAGGTTCCTAATTGTGTTGTGTAATTTGTAATTTTACAAAATTTTGAATAATGACTTTCTAAGGAAGCTGTTCTTAAATAAATAGTTCAAACAATATTTTTAAACTCTCTCGTCATATAACATATAAGTTATAAGTCATATAACATTAGAATATGATGAGACAGAAAGTCCTAAGCCTTATAAGTTGAAGTAAAATGTGATTTGAGTATAATAATTATTAATTTCCCACCATCCGTAATTAACAATTCGAAAATTTGGAGGTACGCACATTATGTATCCTCCCTATACGTTGATAAATTTTTTTGAAAAAAAGTTTCTATTGTTCGTAAATTTTGCGCAAATGAGTTATGTTTTTGTGCTCAAATGAGTTTTAAAAAAGGTAAATGTACTCAAATGAGTTGTAGCCATATTTTTATACTCGTGCTTTTCGAATTAGGTAGTAGGTAGTTATATAGGTGCAAGGCACCATGGGCGGATCCAGAGTTAGGAAACTGTGGGTTAGAACATTTCAAGGGGCCACTTATTAAAACCAGATTAGAAATCTATACTTGTGTACTAGGTATATAAAACAAAAAAATTAATTTATACTGTATACAGAGCCGTATTTACACTGTTTTGAGCCCTGGTTCGACAATATTTGTACAACCACCCACCAAAAAAAAATTAATTGTTTTTAATTATTTAGTTATAATTCTATAATTCTTTATTTATGAAAATGTTGTCAAAAACACAGATAATAATGATACGCCTACATTATTTTAATTATTGTCAAAATGTATAACTAATACATACAATTGTACCGAAACTATAAAAAAAAATGTGGGCAAGTGGGTGTCGCTCTGCTGTACAGTAGGTTACAAGTGGGTCGCTGTATAATGGATGCTATTAAATTTGAATTCAATGATACAATATCATTGTATAAGAAAAACGATTCTGAGCGAAGACGGTATGTCAGTCTAGGTTTAAGACAAATTATATACATATCTATGGTATTAAAAAAAAATTGACCTATAATAAATTCCAAATTAATCATATCACATTATCACAATATCAATTTGGTACTTATAACACGTTATACATCAACATCAATAACAAACCCTGATACTATCTTAGATATATAATAGTACACTTTAGAAGTTTCAAGTACCCACGAATAATATTATTCAATCACAACAAAATAACTAAAATAGTTATTCTAGGTTTTTTAATATGTAATTTCGTCCAAATTTGAATTTAAAATGTCTGTAAAAAATAACTGTGTTCATATATTTTTTAGATTTTTTGGTTACAGTATGAACTATTTATGAGAACCTTTGTTTTAAATTTGCAATCCTTAGCTATAAAAACTGAAAATTTTATAATTTATTAATTTCAATGATTGATAATTTTCGAGATTTTGATAAATTTTGTTAAAATTCGATCTTTAAATGCTTATAAAAAAAAACTGTGTCTATGTATTTTTAATATTTTTCAACTGATATAGTAACAATATATCAGGAGCCTTGTATTACATTTTTACACTTTTTTGCCCAACAGATAAAACTTTATTGATATTTATAGAAAAAAAAACTAAAAAAAATTGAAAGCGGTAAATGTCCGTAAATAGCTCAAAAAGAGTCAAAATATTTTTGAAATTGTATGGTGTATAGGAAATGCTACTTTAAACATTCAGTGAAATTTTCATGTATCTACAGTTATTCGTTTTTGAATTACAACAAAATAAGGAAATCCCTACATGAGAAATCGAGTGAATATCCAATGTTGTAAGAATTTGAATTTCAAACGCTCATAAAAATTTAATTTGACTTTCTTATAGACATTTTTTTTTTATAAAGGTAGATAATCTTATAAGGAATCTTGTATTACATTTTCAAATCTTAGATTTAAAAAGAAAAATTTTTACGAATTCTTAACTCAAAATAATTTGCTAATTTTCGTGATTTTTTCCATATTTTGTCAATTTTTGAACTTTAAATGCTTATAAAATAAAAATTGTGAATAAGGATTTTTAATATTTTTCAACTGCTATTGTAGCAAAACATCAGGAGCCTTCTATTAAATGTTCAAGATCTTTACACAACAAAAAACATTTTATTGATATTTATAGAATAAAAAACTAAAAAATTGGAAACTAAAAATGTTCGTAAACAACTCAAATTAAATTGTATGGTGCTAGAAAGTTCTAATATAAAAAATAAACATTTAGTCAACATTTCATGTATTTATGGTCATTTGTTTTAGAGTCACACCAAAAACCAAAACCGATTTGGTTGAAAATTGATTTTGCGAAAAATGTCCCATTTTTCCTTAATTTTTCTTTTGTTTTTCACGGCGCTGTGAAACTACTGGGAAATTTTTACTTTTGACCCCCCTCCATAATAGGTACCAACTAGATTGAATTTCCTATAGGAAAAGATGCTGTTGAAGAAAATCCAAGCACTTTTACTGTCCTAAAAGGTGACGACAGACACAGACACGATAGCCACAACTACCTACTTTATTCACCACTAGAAAAATTTTGAGATAAGTCTGTATCAACACACAACAGAGCAGTGTATATTAGTAAAATATTTGATAATAATTCATAGAATTGTATATGTATAGTTACATTTATTTACATAGTATAGGTACAAGAACATTGTTCTTAAAAAGTCTAAGCAGAGCCTTTAATTTTAAATCCTGGCATATTGTAATTATTATAATACTAGTATTTTACAATAAAATAATGACATACTTATATACATTACTAAATCCCAAAAATAATTATACATTTAAAGGGGTACTTTGCCATTTAAATTTATTTGTATCAAATAGAATTAGGTATTTGATATAAAAAAAATTATAAATAGAATAATAATTTATAAAATTATGTAAATGGGTACCTTGTAAAAATTTTCAATTTTCTTAATTTCAAAAACATATTTCTTTGTAGTATTAGTACAAATTTAAAAAAATCTTTTAATTTAGAATAACTTCAGTTTTGTGTGAAATAAATGTGGTAAGTGGTGAACTACTCGGTTCATTTTTTACTTTCATCGTTTGTATCATTATAGTTATTTATAGAAGTTCAATGCTATTTTTGATATGACAACAATGCTTTGCTTAACACATACACCGCGTCAAATAATTAGTTGGGACACGTTAGATGCGTCACAAAATATATCGATGTTCGCTAGGCACCAATTCGGACATTTTAATTAGTGTCGGAAAAATCAACAAAATAAGTTATTTATAAATGGATTGGACTGAAATAACAAGAAATTTCTATGCAGAGGCGTTTGTAAAAAAAAACATAACTCTAGTGCATCTCTATTTTATAGCACATTTAATTCAACGGACCTGATGTCGGCTATATCCGACAGGCGCACCGTTCACATACCTACAAGTCGGCTATATCCGACAGACGCACCTTGAAAAAACCTGTCCATCGGATATAGCTGACAAACGCAGCGAATGTGTTAAACTATTATAAAATACATATTTTACATGTTATATTAATAGTCTAAATAGTTAGAAAGAAGATAATAATAAATAATTACATAATGAAGTTAATTTTTTGAAATAGGTATTCTTGAAATATTTTACTCCAGAAGTAAATACACAATTTTATTACATAATTTATACAATACTTAATGATCATTAAAATAATTTTTCTATTCTTTTTTATTATGAATTAATACTAAGTATATTTAAATACTTATACTCTATCTTATCTAAAAGTAACTTTGGGTGGCAACCCCTTGATAGTTTGGTTTATGTTGACCTTTGTTGTCAGATTTATTTTCCAACGATTGGCATTTTGATCAGCTTGGTGTTAATCTTAGCAAAAAACACGCTAAGGTGGTTATTGAAATAATCAAGTAACACTCCAGAGAGCGTGAGCACTCCCTGAGGTAATACTTATGTGACACATTACTTATATCCCAATAATAGTTATAATAATAATAATAATAATAAAGAAAAAATATTGATTTAAAATTCAAAAATATTAATTCTAATCATAAAAGGCATGTATTAAAATAATACAATAACTGTTTATCATTTTATTACATACACAATAATAAATATTCAACTTCCAAAAATTATACACATTATTTGAAAAAACTCTGACATAATTTAAATTAATTTACTAAAATAGAATTCCTGAAGATCTGGGCATCAAAGTGGGGCAATTTAAATTACTGAAAAAAATTTACAAGGTTTAATGGTTATAATTTATCATATTATATAAGCTTAAAAATTGTTTGACTCACCTAAATTTCATTACTACTTTACCAATAGTCTGTCTGCTTTGTAAATGCTTAAATGCACGTTCCAATTCATGTTCCATAAAAGTTTTGTCCAACACTGGTCTGAGAACATAATCATTCGCCATGCTGGCAAGTTCGTTTAATATCGTAGAGTTAAATTCATAATGATCCCAACATTTGTTACCTTGAAACATCTAAAATAAGATTCAATTCATTATATATAATTGCAATAAATAAGCTTTTAAATTTTACTTCTAAAAGGTACACTCACATAAGCCAACCTTAACCATTGAATATAGAAAAATCCACGAACAACACCAAATGAATCTGATGGTAAGCGGTGTGGTCCAATAGGGATTACTATACCACAAACATTACACAACTGTTTGCACAGACTATTTTTAAGTTCACCAGCTGTATTGAATACATAATCATACCTAAAAGTATGTATAAGTTATACATTTTAATTTATGATGTAACATCTAAAGCAAAATACAACTCAATTTAACTTACCCACAGGGTGCAGTACTAAGTAATTGATCAATACTAACAGTTTCAGTTTCATAAGTGGTGTTGGCTCCTAAGTATTTCATAAAATGACATACTCGGCTTGGACAAGCAACAGTAACATCTGCCTTTAAATAACAACATAGTTGGACAATTATTGAACCTGTTCCTGTATCTCCACAGTATATAATTATTCTGAAAAGAATATTTATATTAATGCAATTTTTTAAACAATGGATAAGCTGTGAATTGAATGCTTATAACATACATGCACTCACTACTCTAAAACTTATACAGTGACAACTGTATTGATTCCTATTTCAGTATTTCTTACAGTACATTAAAAATATACTGCTTCACATTTATGTCATTTTTCAAGAATAGTACTAAACACTAGATTTCTTAATAGTAAAATTAAAAACGTAAGAAATAATAATGTTATTGACTCGTAGATTTCAGCAAACTTATTGGGGACTTTAATATGTTTTGTTTCATAATAAGACTTACAATTACAGAGGTAATTTTAATCTCAAACCACATTTCCCAATTATACATTGATGGGCCCATACAAGGGCTTCAACTAGGAATTAAGTGAGATTTTCAATGACTTTTGGGACTGAAGAAAAGAGAAAATTACTGAAGGTAATTTGCCAGTAAACATGACTCTGCAAAAAGAAGTTTTTCATTGTTGCCCAAGTAGTTATTTTATTGTTATAGTTATACAATTTTTAAATAATATGAATTAAATTTTTATTTAAATCTTCATTATTTTTACACTATCACTAAAGTGTATTCAGAATGAGATCAGTACAGAGTCGATGCTCTCCCGCCAAGTCGACCACACTAGGTCAATGGGTAATAATGTATAAGTTTTAAATATTTATTATTTTAAAGTTTAACATTAAAATATTTAAAAACGGAGTTCAATGCAGCTGGTAGAATATTACCCTCTATTAGGTAGTTAAAAAAAAAATTATCAAATTTGGTTGATTCTAAAGAATAGGATTATTATTCCCGTAGAGTATATATTTGTGTACAAAATTTCATTAGCGCCTGAGGGCCTTAAACGAGTATTTATAATTTATAATTGGGTTGCATAAACAATAACTTAACATTTAATGAATTAATAATGGTCTTTTAAGATTAATTTAGTGGTCCATTACATTTCAGAGAATCACTAAGTTATTCAATTTCTTATGGAGATTGACATACATATTTTTAAATTACCCCCTTTCTTTTTTTATAAAAATAGGACACCAAGAACAGCCTTACAAGGCAGAGATAGAAACTTTAAATAAAATATAATTTAACTTATAATAAAATAATAATTTACTACTATATTAGCTATTATAAATTAATTTTTGTTTTATGATATTTGTTAATATTAAAAACATAAAATTCGTTAAAACTACACTGTACCACTATCAGTGAACAAAAATATAGTGTTCTGTATTAGTATAATATATTATGCATTTATGCATAGTTGTATATATGTTCATATTTTTAATATTTTTAATTATTTAAAAAATAGAATGTTACTTTTTGTCTACAGCAGTCAGTGGATTCAAATTAGCTGCTTGAAATACAGCCAACCATGCCAACGACCCTGAGTATGGAAGCGTTGCTGCTTGTTCATGGGTTAATGAACGTGGCTTATGTCCAACATATTTGTCGGGTACAACTATCGTTTCACATAATGTACCACAAGGGGACCATGGTGGCAGTGATACCCAAACTTCATCATTAATGTTTATGTCACGTCGCACTTCTGATCCTAAGTCAATAACAACTCCCGAACAATCTCTGCCCAATACAATTGGAAATTCTCGGTGCATTGATTTCTATACACAAGAAACAATTAATAAACTTAACATTTTTAATCATTAGTCACATATCAAAGTTTGTTATACCTATTTATATATATATTATATATATATATCTCTTTCTTACAAATGGAATAATATAGAAAATTTCCATAAAGATGTTTTCTAACTTGTAAAATATTGCAAAATAATTTTAAAGATAAAACTCTTATTACAATAACTTAACAATTTTTGTGAGGATGTTTAGTAGTTTCCCGGCCTCTTCATTATATTAAATTTGTTGCACAATATAAATTGCTATAATTGTCTTCTATATATTTTTTTTAATAACCTCAAATTAGAGTTAAATAGTTTTAGAAAAAAGGCTTGAAGATGCAGTTGAAAATATTATTTACGTATGTTATAAATAATTATAATAGTAGGCATTTTAACATCACTGTCTATTCAAGGATTTTCATAATCTTGCTTTTGATATTCTTTATAAGATACAGAGATAGAAAACATTTGTATGGTATTCTCTTATCATTTGAACACAGTTGAAAATATTTTATAAATCTACTAATTTCCATACTTACATGTAATGTATGTTTAATTAAAAATTTTCTTATAAATGATCCATAACCAGATGCCACTAAAACATCCATTGGGTCTAATGCAGCGGCTCTGACCATTATCATAACTTGATTAGATTCAGTGATTTTTGGTGTCACCACATCTTCTAATAATGTTATGCTCTAATGATATACATAGGTATGATACATGATTTCAAAAATTTTAACATAATAATAAGGAGCTAGAAATTACTTCAGTTCCATTATAACTGGTTGCTGATGCTGCTTTCATATGTGTTACAGTGATGGCAGATGGCTTTATATTTATACCAATCAAAAATCCAACTCCACTGCCGACGAACAAACCGGCAAAACCAATATAAACATGACTTCGATTGACTAAAAATGTAAAAATTGTATGTATAATTTACAAGAATGGTAAGTATAATAACTACATCATAAATTAAAAATATATCAAAATTTCTTATTGTTACAATCCATTATTGGTTATGGCATTTGATTACATAAATTAAATAAATAATTAAGATGTAGATACCTATATTTTTTAGGATAAGTTAGACTAAACATACTCATTTAAAAATATTGAGTCATAGTCAATTAATAGAAGATAATAAAAAAAAAAAATTGTAGAAGTGAGTTACGACCGTATATTACCTATATATTTTAATTATTGAACGTATTGTTTCATTAAAAAATACAATTCATTTTTAATTTTATTTATTATTAATTTATCCTAATATATATTTGTAAATACTTTAATATAGTATATTGTTTATATAAAATATTTATGGTGGTTTAGTAAGTCATTCAAATATTGTAACATAATCAATTTAAATCTGGTTTTAAGAAACTATTATTTTAGAGTATAAAAAGTTGGTACATCTAATTTAATTATTTTGATTATATTCAAACATAGAAACAACATAATATAATTAACTTACAACTATTTCCTGTTAAGTAGATTATTTTTGATTGTAGGGCATCAACAACAACACTAAAGTCGTATTGTTGAAGTGAATACTTGGTTTGTAACCATGCTTCTATGAACTGTTCCCACCCTAAGTGTATCCCTTCATGTATATTTTGTATAGATCTGGAATTCCATGTTTCCAGTACCAATTGCTGCATTTGATCCGACCAGCGATCAAATGCAATTGTTCCATTTTCTAGTGCTGTTGTCATCAAAGCCTGAACACGTCATAAAAAATGATTATTTCAACAGCCAATACATTTAAATATATACGCATAAGATAGGTATGCACCTTGAATGTTTCAAATCCATTGCATAAGTCGGTTATAGTTTTCCCCATTAGATAATCTTGAATTACTGTTATCTTTTGGTTGACTCTAATATCATAAACTTAGATATTTATGTTTGAAGCAATTCAATGAACCATCATGAAAAACGCATTAAATGATTAAGAAAAAAATGTTTAATGAGGATACCAACATTTTGACACACCCAAAAAGTAATTATAATAAATATTATTTTACTCACCTTGTAGATTTACATAAGTAAAAACTAATAGTAAAGCTGTTATATTTTATCATGACTAAACTATTGGATTTATCTAGAGGATTATCTATTGTGCCTTGTCCACCGTTTTTTAAATTTAAGACAGAGTTCAAATTATGTACAACATACTATTATAGATAGAATTTTACAATCCGCGAGTGTTTTAACGTTTCCCTAATGCTAACAAATAACACAACTAAAATCTTGACTATAGTGTTATCGTTACCGAGTGCCGAGTGGAAAACAATCAGATGATAGTGTTATCGGTGTAAAAAAGTTATGATAATCAAATATTTTGGAAATTGATTTTACAAAAAAATGTTTATGGGCTCTTTAAATAATTATAATACATTAATTGATTTTGTCTTGAGATTTTTCACCATAATGACCTTATTATAGTATAATATACTTAATATTATATTACAAAGGTGTAAAACTGTAAACAACATTTTTCATGCGACTGCTCACAGCTGATACTATACGCCATAAGGTAGGTAGGTATAAGTTATAATAGGCAATATGTCGTGCATTCTACATTAATTTTGACCTAGGAGTTGTCGGTAAGTGTACGACTGTACTGTGTAACATAAAAGTCAAAATCATAACTCATAACTTCATATTATTATAAAGAAGTAAAATTGTATTAAACAAATGTCTACATCTTAAAATCAATTAAGCAGTACCCACCTACACAGAGGGCAAACTAATCATAAAAAGGTGCAAACCTATTTAGTATTTCGATACAAAAAGTTCATATGGTGTATGACTTAAGTACCTGTGTAGGCTTTAAATTTTAAGTAGGTACCTACCTACTTAGTGAATAGTACTTACGTTTTAACCTATATGTTATAGGCTATTATTGGGTCGGTAGAATGCAGTGTTGGGTACTAACGTAACGCAAATTACAAAATACTGTAACGCAATTACTTTTTCAGTAACGCAGCAGTAATTTCATTACATTTTACTTAAAGTAATGCAATTGTAATAAGCTAATTTTTAAAAGTAATTTCTATAAAGTAACGAAGTAACGCGTTATTTTCACGTTATTAAAATAATAGTTTTGAATGTATTACAAAAACTGTCAAAAACAAGCCGATAGGATATACCCTGCAGAAAAATAAAAATCAAATATATTTATTTTTGATTCCGATAATAGTTAACAATATTACTAAACATTCCAGGAATAAATATTATCACTATATGATTTTATCGTCATAATATAATTGCAAATAAAATTTTCAAATGCGTTTTGTGTAAAATCACGATTTTTGTGTTATGTCGTTGTTGTAGCAAACAAGCGACTTTATTAGCAGAAAGAAAAGAGTTTGGTTTAAAAATAAAATTTTATAAAAGTTAATTAGGTATGATTTATGACTTCTGACTTTATAGCCATATAGGTGAGACGATTGTACATTAATTGTACATAATACATTAATACTGTAACAGGTCTTATCATTTATCACTAGGTCTATGATTGTAAAATATATACATAATAATTGAATCATATGAATTGAATATGGTTAAAAATACAATGATAAAAAAAAGTAACGTTATTTGTAACGCACTACTTTATTAATGAAAAAGTAATTTAACGTGTTAAAAATAAATTTATAGGTAACGCAAATGTAATTTAAATAAAAATATTTGAAGTAGGTAACGACTAACGTAATTTCATTACTTTTTAAAAGTAATTTACCCAACACTGGTAGAATGATAAAATGATACATAGGTCCCTGCAGATACCTACAAGGCTGCAAAGCTGGTTGATAATATTTGTAGGCTCGGATTAAATACATTATGCACTATTGCACTAACAAATCACAAAATAACTGCATTATGCAGCGAATACGATAAAAAAACATGGTTTAAAAAAATTAAACATAATTTTAATTTTAAATGATTTCGTAATTTTGATGTAACCCTTACCAACTCTTAAAAATGTACTAAAAATAACCAAATTGTATTAAATGTTATTATATTTAGCACTTAATATACCTACTTACTCTATACTCTTGTTCATTTTTAATTTTATTCAAGTAGGTACCTATTCAAGTATTCCACCGTTTGAAACTGTACTTACCTTAGGTTTTAGGTACCTACTACCGGCTTAACAATTATTGTAATAGGTACCTATAGTAATACCTATAAATTATGTTTGTATCATGAATAATTATCTTAGTTCATGGTTGATATTATGGTGTTAAAATGGTTTGAAATTCATGGATTTGAACCTTAATATTCTCATATGGGTAGATTGAACGTTTACCTACCTATACAGTTATCTTGGAGTACCTATGGAAGTAGTAAAGTAGATATATACATATTATCAATTATATACCTATTTATGTATATTGTATATACCAACGTAAGTAAACACCACCTAGTACCTATACATAAATAGTATATATCATATACCTATAATATGGTTATCCCTCCGTGATTAAAACGGTTACATTTACGATTTAATTAAATTTTTTTCTATAAATAAGTAGGATTGGTAAAAACAATTTTACTTTAGTCAAAAAGCTTGAAATTTAATTTTAAATATAATATTTACGCCTAAAGCTAAAAAAAAAAATTATTAAAGACATATAGTCACATAGACATAAGCATTTGAATTTAATTTGATTGCGGACATAGCGAGGTGGGAGATAAAATATAGTCTATATTAGTATTTAGTACAGCTTTGAAGTTGAAAAAAAAATCTGTATACAGTGTACCTAAAATAGTATTGAAGTCATAGTTGAACGCCTTGAACATCCCGGATTTTTAGGAGTATTTAATATTTATATATTAATATATTTTGGGGTTATTTTATTTTATTTTTACAGACAACGGGGTTATTGTACATACCTTTGTCCAGTAAACATGCGACCAAAAGCAACCATTAATAAACAAAAAAAAGTTTCAATTTCCACTGTGAATCTTAAGATCCCTCTACTTACTACCTCTTTAAAAAGCAAATATTAGAAAATCCTTTCTTATTGCATTTTCTAGACCAGTAGAGGAACCACTAAGTATTCCAAATAAAAAGTTCGTAAGTTTCAAAAAACGCACCGACTCCGACCCCTTAAAGCCAATATTGTATATTTAATCAAGATTTTGCTTGATAGATGGCGTCACTATTATATTCTTACAGCCCCTTATGTTCTCCTTTAGGGATTGAATTTCCAAAAATCTTTTTTTAGCGGACACCTTTCAGCCAGTTCCGTCCAGTGGTTCCGGCTAGGCGATGATGAATCACTCAGAACAAGTCACTTTATATGTAATATATAGATTTTTGTTTTCAGCAAACATTAACTCAAATTAATGTAGGTATTACTAATATCCAAATAAATTACTATAGTACTTAGGAATATCAAAAAACTTTTCATAAAATATACTTAGTAATATAAGCTGACAAGCGACAGTCCGTCTTTACCCAGACATTTAAAAAAAATAAAAATAAAAATGTCAAAAGGATTAAATTCCTATAAAAAGTTTAAAATTAGGAAGACATTTATGTGTATGGTAAATGCTAATTTAAGTAACAGTGGAATCATGGTGTGTTTCTAATTGTCACGATTTTAACTTTTTGAACTAGGTACAACAACAAGAAATCATTTTATCCAAAGGTGGGCATTAACTTGTTAAAAAGTTAATTTTTTTAACTTAACCATACTTAATTATTAACTTATTTAGTTCAAATGTTTCATGTTGTTACTCAATTTTAACAATTAACTAATATTTATTATCATCGTCATGCAGTTAAGTGCATTTTATTTTCGTGTCGTGAGGAACCACATTGACAATACTGATTCGTTGACTCTTTTTCGATTATGGTAATTTATTTTATAACTATTTATTATAATAAACTATTTTTTCTACACATATTGGTAAATGTTTGTGTAAATCAGAATCCTTTTTTTTTTATTTAAAAATATATTTACAATCTATACTACATGAGTGAGTGTGGTGACCTAATATAACATTTGACATAAGTAACATTAATTGTATGTAGGAAGACTCCCAGCAGTGCCACCTGACAAGAAATTAAATCAAAATCATGGCAGTTTATGACTTAAAAATAATGTAACCATTTTTTTTTAACTGAGTTAAGTTAATTGTATTTTCCTCTTAACTTTCAACTTATCTAGCTAAATATTTTTTCGTTAACTTTTAACTTATTTAGGCATTTGAAGGCAATTTAATTGCATTAACTTAACTTGCTACAGTTAATTATTTTCATTAACTTTGCAACCTTTGGTTATATCACAATTAAATATCCGATGTCATCAAAATTTAAACTTCAGACGCTCATAAAAAAATATTTGTAAAATTATTTTGTAGCGAATCTAGTAACAAAAACTAGCAATAAACTTTCAAACCTTAGGTATTGAAATTAAAAATGTTATTAATTTACTTTAATTTAACAAACTTTTGTGGTCAATTAAACCAATGACAACTGATTATATTATACTGACTTACTAGTTACTGTATAATAGAACGGCGAAGAAAGGTTCTTGGTATAAATAGGCAATACCTTAAAATTAGTCTTAACATTTTGCAAATGATAACTATTAAGTTACTGTTAGAATGTTTCAAGAATATCTACGATCGATGCTTTTTTGTATTACAACAAGGTATCAAAAATTGTTTAAGGAAAAATCGTTATTTTACTTGTGAATATCAAATTTTGTCACAATTTGAAATTCAATCAATGAGGTTTTACACTTTTACGGTAAAAATTTTTAAATTACATTAAAAAAACCTATGCGAAACGTTGTAATTACTATTTTAATTTTCAAGCCTTAG